ACAAGACCACATCCCGCACAAAACTATAGAAGCATGGCTTTTTTGAGTAGACATAGCGTGTATTTGTTTGACTGGCCTGCCTGCGGTCCAGATGTGTTCTACTGAAAACATATAACAAAACAGTCAAAAGGTTTTGGTCATTAGTCAATGGTAGACAACCAGTTGTTTTTTTGTTGTTTTTTACAGTTGGGCATTACAAATACAGCCCAGGCTGGAGTGTGCTGTCACTTGAAAAGGAATTGTGTGTATGTGTGTGTGTGTGTGTGTGTGTTCAATTAATTTGAAGAAAGAACACGAGAACAACTTACTAAAAATAATGTTTGCAAATGTGCTTTTAAAGTCTGTAATAAGCTTTGATTCATTTTTAAAGTTCCATTTCCATTAAATGAATTCATGCAAACGTTCTGCTCTAGCACATGCAGCAGGTTCTGGTGTTCATGGCGTGCACTCTCTTCATACTCCATACTTACAGTACATCTAATACCTGGTATTTCTTTGGAGAAAACATAAAACTGCATATGGATTTTATAAGGCTGGACGAGATATGCAGAAAAGCTGACCAAATGTGGTACTGCTATCTTTGTATCAGTCTCACACACAACAGGAAACACAATTAGACACGCACTACAGGCAATAAAAACAGTGTAATTTAAATGCTGACAAAGTTACTGGCAATCTTGGTCACTGAAAGAAGCAGGGGAGGACAAACCTTGTGTGATTGTCAGAGCTGCTCTGTCTGTCTGTCTGTGTCTAACAGTTAGTCCAGAAGGATCTGACATTCCTCACCAGACAGGGAGGGTCATGAGTTTAAGCAGCGAGGAGTGGGAGGTAGGGGCTATTCCTGTCCCTCCCACCCACTAACATATCTAGTATCACTACCCCCTTCCAAGATCCCAACCCTAACCCCTCGTGAACTCTAAACACCACTGACATTCTGCAAAGCTGCTGGTATTTACCATGGAAAGGAATGGATCTCGGCTGAATACAGCACATCTTATTACATGATGCAGGCATGATGAGCCAACGTGGGGACACAGAGGTACCTGAGAACCAGGTCTTAATGGTATTTGTGGCTGTTGTGGTTTAATGCTATAAAGGTATGGTTAGCAGTGGTCTAGAGTTTCATCATAAAACACTAGAGACAGACGAGTTAAACATGAGAGGGAGTTGTTTAAAAGCTAGCAGAAAGCCACAGTCTCGGTGCCCGCAGGTCAGTGGCTCAGTTTTAACATTCCACCATGTGAAGTGATCCCTTCTCTCACCACTTACTGACCACAGCATCACAAATGACTGGCATTCATGTCACCTTATTCATGCAAAAGCTTGTCGTACAAACAATACTCCACACCAACTGTTGCAGCACAGTGTGGCTGAACTGCCCCACATACTTACATTGATCATAGCATTGGAAGTGATCCTGAAAAGAGTGGCTAGTTCATTGATGGCCTTGATCTTCTCTCCTCCCTCCACCGGGATCAGACCCTCCAGCTCACTCAGTGAGCGCTGCAGGGCCGCCCCGTGCTTGGCGATGAGGTCGTTACATGTGCTGAGGTCATCGAGCTTGCTGACCAGGATCTTGAGAGTTCCCTGGATCTCGCTGCGGTCTGACTGGGATGTCGGCTCCTCGTCCCCTGAGTCATCTAAAAGCGAAAGCAAAGCAAATACTCAGGAAACATATCTTGAGATTTCAATATTGTATATTCCAACTAAATCACAAAAACAAGGTCATGATGATAACCTGTTTAAACAGCCACCTGTAGGTTGTGTTTACATGTTGACATTGGTGGGGATCAATGTGAACACAACCTAAACCAACTGGGGCTAATGTCATCAGTGTTATTCACAAAACTATTCAAACCAAAATGTTTGAAGACATCTGGTTCTTAGTCTACTGATCCTGGTATGACTTATTTTAATATACTTCCTTTTCAATACGATAATACTATTATTTAACAGTAACAGTGAGACAAAACAAATAACAAGATGGTTTATTCAACAGGCACAGTATTCAAGCTGAAACTTCGGTAGAACAAATCTGCCTAGCACAACAGAGGCATCCAGACCGTCCACTTCCACAAGTTACATTAAAAAAAACTTTCAAAAACATGTTTTATCTTTGATTAAACTTTAATCTTCCTTGACCTTCAGTGAACTCTGCTAACCTCTTACATGACAAGTCACATCAGTCATAACCTTGATCAGAAATAGAAATTAAAACAAACAAACAAAAAAAGTTTATGTTGTTCATTTGTCTTGTCCGTTTGGTAATAAATGATCCTCTTTATATCCTCACTTTCTATTTTAAAATCCATTTCACTAAGTAGAGGTTACTCTAGGTCAACAGAAGATATGGAAACAGTATTGCAGTGTCAGCTTTAAATCACATGTAGCTAACCACACACAATGTGGGCACGTGTAAACTACAGGTTTTGTTTATCACCTGACTCTTAAGTCTAATATTTACTCTTATTTGCACATAACCCTCTGCCAGAAAACAGAACAAAACAGCCCAGATGCAGGTGGTACACTCTAAACTGGGATGAAGAAGCAAAGAAAAGTATACATCTCTGACCTACAGCTCTAAAACCAGCACTGCACTTCACTGCAGTATTTATTCACGGCCTCGTTCATGAACTGTTTTTTAAGCCATTCTGATGGTGTTTTTAATTTGGATGGGGGTCATGGTTTGAATGAGGCGGTGTAACACTCGGTAACAGTGAGACTAAAGGTGTAGAAAAAGCTGATTTCTCTGCTCTCTAATTCATTATGTTGAACTTGTTGGCCCTCGTGTCTAGGCAGAGCCGACCTGCTGTCTTCTCCAGTTCAGAGCACAGACTGTGTAATTCACACAGAAGAGGTGTGTTATGAGGCTGATAGCAGAAACAAAAGGAACACTCTCACATGTGTAAGGCCTATCTACACTCTACACTGTATATGACATGGTCTATTGCCTGAGGGATTCTGATCACTTGAACCATGTTATGTAACACTGTTACATACAGTGTTGGAGTATAGTTTAGACATATCTGCCCACAACCTTTGTCCAGCAGAATGAAAAAACCAAAGCAACAGAATTAACAGAACAAATCCTAGTACGATACACTTGGCTAAATTATGAAGTACAGGGTAGTTAGCAGAACAATTAATGTTAAATGGTAAAGTACTTTGATGGCAGTGATTTGATGACCACTCAAATCACTTTATGCTGACTATAGGTTTACTATTCACACACCATTTACTCACAATCCTTCAATAGGAAGTGCTTTATTGTTACATTCATCAAATTAATTTACTCTGCTGCTACAGCCGCCAGATTGGGGTTACTGACTGGTCCAGGGGTTCATTCGCATGTAGACTGAGGAAAGTTGTAATACTGTACCTTCAAGGCTATAGACATATATCTGCTCTGCCTATTGGTGCACAGTTGCTCCAATTAAATAAACAAAATCCAATTCGCATTTGAATTGGTCTGACTGCCGGGTGAGTAGGATTTTTCAAGGTGGAGTATGAATGGACTGGGCATATATAAAATAATCTTATCAAATTTTACTGCATCACATAAATACTGTCAGCAGCGATACTGACATCTGTCTGGATTTTTCCATGTGTTGCTCTTTCTGGCTTTCATTTCAGCCTTTTTCTTTGTTGTGTCAGGAAGAATCTACTAGTGGTAATAACTAGTCTGTGAAAGTACAACTACATGACGATATATTGGTGTAATATGTAATGAGATATTTCAGTTGACTCATATTAACTCACAAAGATGACTTAAACTGTCAGGTTAGACTTATTAAAGTTTAGAAATCCAAAGCATCATTCTCCTAAACAATGGAGTTAGGACGAATGAGCAAGCTCCAGGTAAATAAATTAGAAAAATCTTATTATAATTGCATCTTTGAGCATTCATGTTCTTTCAAATTCAACCAGAGTTTAGCTAGGAAGTAGCAGGACACCCCCCCCCCCCCCCCCGCCCACACCAACTCCACGCGACCAGAGAGCAGCCACTGAGTTGTAAGCTTTGAGCAACTGTGGTGAACATATTGGACAGGTTTATAAAGACAGCAAATGGTACCACTGCCAGAGTAGACAAAAACTAAATACCAGGTCAACCCAGGGGTCTACAGCACAAACAAAACTTGGGAAACTTGGACGTAAAAAAAAGGTCTGTAGGCAGCCAGGATTAGAGCAGGATTCAGTACGCTGAATTTTAATTAGGTCCAAGTGGAAGAAAATGAGGGAACAAGGACGAGCAGTTGCAGTGAACTTGGTAGACTAAATGACAAATCCAGGGAGAGAGTTGGTTCTGTTAAATGAGCGGAAACTGGTAAAGTGGAGAAGTTAGAGAAAAAGTTGGTCAAACTTGTTAAAATTGTTAAAAAAAAAAAATCGCACATTCATCTCCACAGAACCCAGAACTCTAAAAGGCTATGGATTAAAAAAAGGTCACAAGACACTATCTGTTCAAGTTAGAAAGAATCTTTAACAGACTAAAGTTTTTTCTTTTTACTTTGCTCAAAAACTACCTGACCTCAGCTGCAGCCACATCTTCCTCTTCTGAAGTTTTTGTTTTAGGAAGGCAAATTTAAAAGTCCCTGAATGCATATATTTTCTGCTCAGCAGATAAGTGAGCCGTGACTTGCCTACAAAAGTAGTCAGTCACAGACTACAAAAAAAATAATAATAATTGGAGACTGACCTGGAATAACCCCTTCAGGGAACAAAACCAGCAGACCTTTGTCTTGACTAAAGACCGAGGTTACTAAATGGGAAAGTCACCACTGACTGAGTTATAGTAAACGCAACCGCTGTGACATGCAGGGCATCTGTATTTGAGGGTGAAATTACAGAGGCTCTGAATGGTTCCGTGATAACATGCAGTGTAGTGTCAAAGGATCACTGGGTGCTGGTGAGACGTTTTGACCGTGCCGGGACACAAAAAGCACTGGGGGATGGTATATTTTAAAAACCAGAGCAGTGGATAAACATTAGTTTCCCATTTAAAAAAAATAATGTTTGTGCAGTAAAAGTATTTAGCCTTAAACTAACATAAAGTGAGTGTATTTTCAGCTCTGCAGTTAAAGTTTGCTCATGTTATTTACCCACATTATGTCAATAAGTTTGGCAACTCAATTTAAAAATAATCTAAAACTTATACTTTGACATATTTGGGGAAAGAAAAGAATGAAAAAAAATCTGCTTCTTCTTTTTTGCTTCTGCTAAGATTTCTTCAGCTCCTAGACTGAAGATTAAAACTTGTCTTTTATAACCTAATGTCCAAATTAAATGTTACTTATATAAATGTTACAGGTGCAGTGCATTGACCAAACAAAGTGTCACCGGAAGAAAAAACACACTTCCTGTTTTCTTGCTGTAGTAAAAGTCATTCTCTCTTTACTGTACACGTAACAAATCCATAATTTACAACACTTGTAAGTTATCTAGTTTAGATGGTGTTCTATCACACGTCTTCCATATAAATAAATGTCAGTTATTTAGCTAAGGCATAATCTCTGGTATTTTATTTTGAAAGGAAATAGCATCTTTGTTTTGAATAACTTGACTGGGGCATGATAGAACAGCATTTTATTCTCTTGGATGTCTCCACAGCCAGTAGGAGTAATCAGGACAAATGTCCTTTCTGCTGTGCCCTTTAGTTTAGTCAACCTAGATCTGTACAGCACTGGAAAAAGGCACTACCAAACAGGTAAAAAAACCTTCAAACATCAAGGAAAAGGAAAGTGAACTCCTTGTCATTGTGACACAGCACACCACTGCACACAACGCAATGTGACCTCTGCTTTTAACCCATCACCAAAGTGAACAGTGGGCAGCTTTGAGCCCCCGGGAAGCAGTGTGTGGGGACGGTGCCATGCTCAGAGCACCTTAGTGGTAACTTGGCAGCTGGTGGATTCTAACCCTTCTGGACTCAACCACTGGCCAATGGTGCCACTAAGCCACCATTGGCCCCTTCCATCAAACACACATAAATAATAAAAATAGTGTGTAAAGCTGACATTAAAATTTTCTGTGCTGTCTGCATCAGTGTTACTGCCTTGCTCACACCTCACGACTCCAAACCACTATCTCACAACACCAGATGTAGATGAATGGCTCTCAATGGCAAAGTCAACACCATGAAGCAAGGCCAGAGTCCCATTAACAACCCAGTCATGCCTCAAGGGCAATTTAGCCCCCTGCCTATCCTTACAGTCTACCACCATGCAGAGAAACGTGCATCGACAACAAAAACGTGCAAATGTGTTTTCAGCTTACACCAAACCTCTCCTGCACTCTCCTCCTGAGATGGTATACAGAAATATCAGCAGACAACATTCTGTGTGTGACTCAAGAGTTCAACACTAAAGCACATCGATCTTCATACTCTGCATCTGCATCATGCTTCTTCTTTTTTTATTTTTTAAAATCATTTTTGTCCTAAAGCACAGAAAGTAGACAGAGGCCAGTAAAAATCAGGCAGCAGGAGCATGTAATTGGAAGAGCATCACGCTGCTTCAACGCTGTCAGGGCTCGTCTCTTGACTTGTCCCTGAAGACAGGCTGTGAGATCGATGCAGCCAGGGCCTCTAGCTGACAGGATGTCACCCTGTGGTGGAGGGACACACCCACCCAGCACCAGGCAT